TGGCCCCATGTTTGTTTTACCGATTTAATTAAGAAAGGCCGGGAACGATTTTTCAGGGTGTTCGGTGGGCGGGGCTTGGCGATACAAGAGTAACAGACGAATGGGGAGAACGGTCGTTTGGCTACGATGAAATAGCTTCTTTTTTTTTCTTTTTTTTTTCCCGGGGTATAATTATGGTGCTGGCGAGTGGTGTAGGGGAGTCATTATAATAGGCTGGTTCTTAGGTGCCAAAGGTGGTGGTTAAGGTGGACATGGGTAGGTTCCAAACACCTCTGTGGGAATCTAATTTTCTTATGTATTATTCTCTCTCTCTCTCTCTCTCTCTCTCTCTCTCTCTCTCTCTCTCTCTCCACATCTGTATTATCGGGGCGGGGAGGAGTATTGTGAACGAAGTTAAGGTTAAGACTGAGTGAGGTTAGGAAGGCTTCTCTCTGAGGGTCCTTGATGAACATGGCAGATATCTTGTGGTGAGAGAGAGGGAGAGAGACGCGACCAGCTCAATAGCAGTGTGTCTTACCTTCTACCTCCCCGATGCTAACCACATGAATCCACCACAGCACAAAGAACAACAGCAAAAAAAAAAGTTATAATTTACGAGAGAAGGAAGACAAAAGCGAAGCAGAGAGACCTATGGCGCCTCGTGCCGCTGGACGCCGATGGCCGCGCGATACACCGTCTTGAGTGACGAAGAATTTACATAAACATTGAATTGCCGTCGAGGGCCGCGGGTTACTGATGGGCCTGAGAGCCCGGCCCTTAAAGACCTGAGCGTGCACTTTGGCGTGATAGATTGTGGAGTGTGATAGACGTATTGAAAGCTTTAACTACCCAACCTCTCATTACCATCGTTATGGGAGGAGGACGGAGAGATGGAGAAGAAGAACCAGAAGATAAAGGTGGAGAGAGAAAGAGGTATTTCACAGCGTTGTTATCTCTCTTGTGGTGTATATAGCAGTGTTTCAGGGCATCAAAATCCTCAGTTTCAGAACTTTCAGACACGAACGACCGACCGCCCGTAAAGGTGTAGGGAGGAGGTCGGGCGCAGATGTTGATGTTATGATGTATTATTGCGCTTCGAATAACTGAAGTCTTTGAGCGTGTATTATAGATCGGTAAATACACTTGTCATCGGGTGTGTGAGAGTTCATCCGAGTTATAATGAGTGAGGAGATGCGTCACTGGCCACTCCTTCCCTCCCTCCCCCTCCCCGGAATCACCACACTAAATATCCTTCTTGCCAAATTCTCAAAGACTCGATATTAACTTTCCTCCTCATAAGAACTAAGAGAAAAGATTTAGTTATGTCATTTTAGGTTTGCCATCTTTGTGTCATTATTTGAAATCAACCACTAAAATATGTCTCTAAATTCCCAATTACGGGGGATAGATTGGCCAATTTTTAAGACCCACTACCGAAACCCCGAACTCTGAACCCCTTGTGGTGATAACGAAGCAATTTTTCTTAGCCTGACTTTTCTTCTACTTCTTGATACCGTACCATTGTTGTTCATTGACCCATTTTTTTTTACATGTGTCGTTTAAATCCTCCACTGGCGTTCAATTACCGATAATAACCCAAAATACCGTAGATAATAACAGCAAATACAGTTATCTCATTACTTGGAAATTTGGCTTCGGTACCTCGAGCAGGGATTCAGAGTTCAATAGTGGGCTGTAGACCTGATCGGATAAGCTAACGTTAGAGGGTGTGAATCCGGGTTCTTGTTTGCTTAGCGTCTTATAGTACCTACAGTATCTTATATCATTATTTAGTTTGTAAATTACTACTTGATGAAGAGAGAAATGAGTGTAATATTGAACATAATTTGATCTATATAGTAAGTTTGGTTTTAATTGGGATCTTCCTGCGTCTGAACTTTCACAATATGAAGAAGCTTAATGTGTGATGAAATTTAGTTAATAAAAAAGAGTAACATATTAACCTGTTGATATTAATGAAAAACAAAAATAAAAATTATGTGTTTGAGAAAAATACTTGTAGAAGATTAAGGAGCTGTCATGAGTCATCAAGAATTTAGGGAAGTATTTGAAATCGTAAGGATATTTAATTATTCTAATCAATTCATCTCCTATTAGACTTTTAGATTGATTCATTGTCTTCAGCGTCTTGTCAGGGTTGAAGTTATGTCCTCTGGCCATCACTATAGCATGGAAATATTGCAGTTAAATTCAGTGTTGAAATTCCTTATTGATTTATTCAGTCTTCAGTACCTGGTATTTAATTTATAATCTCTGGAGTCTTGGAGAGTTTATCATGGTGTTTAAGAGCTTCAAATATTAGAGTGTATCTGAGGGCTTCACTGGGTTTATTCAATGTGCTAGAAGGCTTCACTGGGTTTATTCAATGTGCCAGAAGGCTTCACTGGGTTTATTCGATGTCCAGAAGGCTTCACTGGGTTTATTCAATGTGCTAGAAGGCTTCACTGGGTTTATTCAATGTGCTAGAAGGCTTCACTGGGTTTATTCAATGTGCCAGAAGGCTTCACTGGGTTTATTCGATGTCCAGAAGGCTTCACTGGGTTTATTCAATGTGCCAGAAGGCTTCACTGGGTTTATTCAATGTGCTAGAAGGCTTCACTGGGTTTATTCAATGTGCTAGAAGGCTTCACTGGGTTTATGCAATGTGCCAGAAGGCTTCACTGGGTTTATTCAATGCTAGAAGGCTTCACTGGGTTTATTCATTGTACCAGAAGGCTTCACTGGGTTTATTCAATGTGCCAGAAGGCTTCACTGGGTTTATTCAATGTACCAGAAGCCTTCACTGGGTTTATTCAATGTGCCAGAAGGCTTCACTGGGTTTATTCAATGTGCCAGAAGGCTTCACTGGGTTTATTCATTGCACCAGAAGGCTTCACTGGGTTTATTCAATGTACCAGAAGGCTTCACTGGGTTTATTCAGTGTGCCAGAAGGCTTCACTGGGTTTATTCAATGTACCAGAAGGCTTTACTGGGTTTATTCAATGTGCCAGAAGGCTTCACTGGGTTTATTCAATGTGCCAGAAGGCTTCACTGGGTTTATTCAATGTACCAGAAGGCTTCACTGGGTTTATTCAATGTAGAAGGCTTCACTGGGTTTTATTCAATGTAGAAGGCTTCATTCAATGTACCAGAAGGCTTCACTAGGTTTATTCAATGTACCAAGGCTTCACTGGGTTTATTCAATGTGCCAGAAGGCTTCACTGGGTTTTATTCAATGTGCCAGAAGGCTTCACTGGGATTTATTCAATACCAGAAGGCTTCACTGGGTTTATTCAATGTGCCAGAAGGCTTCACTGGGTTTTATTCAATGTACCAGAAGGCTTCACTGGGTTTATTCAATGTGCCAGAAGGCTTCACTGTTTATTCAATGTGCAGAAGGCTTCACTGGGTTTATTCAATGCACCAGAAGGCTTCACTGGGTTTATTCAATGTGCCAGAAGGCTTCACTGGGTTTATTCAATGTACCAGAAGGCTTCACTGGGTTTATTCAATGTGCCAGAAGGCTTCACTGGGTTTATTCAATGTACCAGAAGGCTTCACTGGGTTTATTCAATGTGCCAGAAGGCTTCACTGGGTTTATTCAATGTGCCAGAAGGCTTCACTGGGTTTATTCAATGCACCAGGCTTCACTGGGTTTATTCAATGTGCCAGAAGGCTTCACTGGGTTTATTCATTGTGCCAGAAGGCTTCACTCTTATTCAGTCAGAATGCTTCACGAGGTTATTCAATGTACCAGAAGGCTTCACTGGGTTTATTCAATGTGCCAGAAGGCTTCACTGGGTTTATTCAATGTGCCAGAAGGCTTCACTGGGATTTATTCAATGTACCAGAAGGCTTCACTGGGTTTATTCAATGTACCAGAAGGCTTCACTGGGTTTATTCAATGTGCCAGAAGGCTTCACTGGGTTTATTCAATGTGCCAGAAGGCTTCACTGGGTTTATTCAATGCACCAGAAGGCTTCACTGGGTTTATTCAATGTGCCAGAAGGCTTCACTGGGTTTATTCATTGTACCAGAAGGCTTCACTCAGCTTATTCAGTCTACCAGAAGGCTTCACTGAGCTTACATTAAATAATCATAATTGAAAGTACTGTTTATAAGTGAAGGAAATGTGTATAAATTTACCAGAGTTATTAAGAATCTTGAAGTATTGTGTGTGATTTTCCCTCCTCCTCTTCCTCTTCCTACTCCTCCTCCTCTTCCTCCCCCTCCTCTTCCTTCCCCCTCCCCCTACCCCTCCCCCTTCTCCTCCCCTTCCTCCTCCTCCTCATCTTCTTCTTCCTCCCCCTCTTCCTCCCCCCAAGTGATAGTTGAGATCATTGTGAGCTTTAGACAGTAGTTTAAACCCTGTCAGTTCAGATATACTTCAAAACAGAAACATTAACAAGTTGTGTAAATGTCTTTTCAATGAATAAGATTAATTAACTTGCGATAATGTGGGAGGGAAAATCACAACCATTCCATAGTTTCTTTTTCTGTTCCATGTGTCTTAAAATTTTCTTATTGTCTATGACTTTTCCTCAGCATCTGTGTGTTGACAAAAACTTCGTATTTTTTCAGGCAAATGTTTCCTCAGGTGAAATTTAGAGTTTCCGGACTTGACCCGAAGGCGAAGTACATCCTTCTTCTAGACATCGTGGCTGCCGACGACTGTAGATATAAGTTTCACAACAGGTATCCGCAGTTATGTCCATTTTCAGCAACAAAAGACCACTTCTACGTGTTCCCTCCCCCTCCCCCGTCCCCCCAGTCCTCCTAAACTATTTTCTGTATTTATGATTACGCCTTGGGTGTGGCATCTACTACGGCTTCCCGTCTTCTTTCTCGCAACGCTTCCTGTTTTCTTTATGATTTTTCTTATTTTTTGGCGCCGACTATCTTAATTTTATTTATTATGCTCCGCCTCCATATTTGTCCTTATTTCTCCCGCTTTGGTAACCCCTATGTTTATTTTCATCACTGTCATATATTCTCTCAAAAGTCTGTTATTATTCTTGCAGACGTATGTTTCCTGCCTACAAAGTTCGGGTCTCAGGGCTTGACAAAAAAGCCAAATACATCTTACTTATGGACATCGTAGCAGCTGATGATTGCCGCTATAAATTTCACAACAGGTATTGTTCTAGAGACCCCAGGTTAATTGATTGTTCTAGAGACCCCCAGGTTTATTGATTGTCATAGAAAACCCCAGATTTGACTTTTTATTGGCGGGGTTTGACTCAGCCTCCCCCTCTCATTCACACACACCTCCGCCATAGAGATCCTTTATAAAGTAGAGGAATGACTTTTGTGTATATTTACCAAAATCTGATCAGTTGATCCACTGTATATATATATATGATCCACATCATCTTTTTTGAATCCCTGTAAAGAACGGGTCCTCACTGCACCCCTCTCATAACTCGTGGTGTGTCTTAGCCGTAGCACAGACTCTTATGCCTCCCCCTCCTCTTCCCCCATATCCCTCTCCAGAATAATTCCCCTCCTTCCCTTCCATCCCCAGTTATGACGTAGAGTACCTCCCCTCCGCCTCCCCATCCCCAGTTATGACATAGAGTACTTCCCCTCCTCCTCCCCTTCCCCAGTTATGACATAGAGTACTTCCCCTCCTCCTCCCCTTCCCCAGTTATGACGTAGAGTACATCCCCTCCGCCTCCCCATCCCCAGTTATGACATAGAGTACCTCCCCTCCGCCTCCCCATCCCCAGTTATGACATAGAGTACTTCCCCTCCTCCTCCCCTTCCCCAGTTATGACGTAGAGTACTTCCCCTCCTCCTTCCCATCCCTCTCCCTCCCCCAGTCACGGCATAGAGTACCTGCCCTTCCCTTTCTGGCTTACAGTGCACACAGTCTATACTCTTAAGGTATTTGACACCTTCACCTGTATTCAAGCCTTGTGTATTCCTTTTAAGAGAAGCATATATGTATCACTGATTGCTTCTGATAACTGGGGAGAATGCAGAACTAAAGCTGATGCGATGTTCTCCTTTTGAGATAATTAATAGAAAAATGATAATGAAAACATGAAAAAGAAAAAGGTGTAGTTGTGGTTTTAGTGTACAGTAGAGTTTGATCTCAGGTATCCAGTCAGGTGTGTGTGTGTTGTCCTGACCTCTTTGGGTTGTAATGATTCCCGTCATGTAGTCGCCTCATATTATACCCTTATAGTCATTAAAATGTATTGCCAGTACTAATGAACAGTTGCCATAAATCATTGACAGGTGTAGGCACAGTCTCCACACACACTACTGTACACTTCTACATTTAGCTCTGCTTATGAATAAATCTGTGTTCGGTACATCTTCTCGATAAGCGAAAGGTCACTGAGACTTAAATAACACATCTCTACAGAAGATGTTCAACGTATCCATATGACTAGCCGTTCTTGGTAGTCAATTGATTAATCTACACTATGTAAATAAACGTTTACTGGCAAGGCGACTCCCGCCCCTTAGCAGCAACAGTATCTTCACTTGATCGTCCAGTTGCTACGATAACCTCGTCCCTCACCTCTGTCCCTGGCCCTTAGCTCGTTAGCGCCCTTATGTCATCAGGCCAACCTTCCTCCCTCTAGCTCTGTCACTCAGTATATACCGCAAGAACTATATAGTGTTGTTCTGAACTAAGTCAGCTGTTGGTTTAAGGTCTTCAGGTCACCTCAGGATTAACGCATGAGTACAGTGGAGTTCCTTAACACTCCACAGCTTAATAAAACAAGTCACTTAAAAGTCCTGAAGGAACAACAAGATATGACTGAGACTCCAAATGGTCCAGCAAGAGTCGACCGAGACATCTATAGGCACACATGAGTCTACTGAGACTCCCGGATGTACTGCAGGGGTTAGTTCTAGTTCCTGGAGGCACGAGAAGGGACTTCCATAAACTCATGAAGGCACTCACAGCTGTGAAGCAGATGGCCACACTCTTCACTGAAGAACATGATAAAGGTTACAGTTCTCAAACAACGTCAGGAGCCAGTTCTAACTCCTGAAGGAACGTCAGGGGCCCGTTCTTAACTCTTGAAGGTGTGTCAGAAGTCAGTCGTAGCTTCTGAAGGCGGCGTCAGGAGTCATTCCTTGCTCCTGAAGGCGCATCAGAAGTCAGCCTAACTGCTGAAGACGCCTTGGGAGCCAACCAAGACTTCAAAAGGACGTGGCCACGAAGACGCCCTAATACTCATCCCCGGAGACCCAAGTGCATGAATAGTCCTTTATAATTTCCTGCATTTATTTTCTCATTACTTTTCCTCGCATGTGCAGAAATTTTGAACTTCCCTCCCCACAGTAGTTAGTGAAGCTCTATAACACAGCCTCTCCATGCATTAGTCGCCTGTTTACCTCACAACATTTAGATTAAAAACAACTCAACAACTAGGATATATATATATATATATATATATATATATATATATATATATATATATATATATATATATATATATATATATATATATAGTATATATATATATATATATATATATATATATATATATATATATATATATATATATATATATATATATATATATATATATATATATATATATTAATTTGTTTCATTCATTTTGACACGATCATCATATGAATCCTATATTAATAAATGATCTATTTCTAAAGCATTATTTGTAAATAGTCCAGAAGATCTTAATATGTTGGTAGATATATTTACATAGCTGTTGTACATAACATAATTATGTATATATGACAATTACCTGGTAAAATGTACGTTCAATAATGATCACACGATAGTGGCTGACGCTATTCTTTAAGATATAATAATGTTTAAAGTGTGAGGCTGGAGACAGGACCAGTCAGCTTCCAGATATACAATAGTTTTACCCAATAAGCCACGAGTCACACAACACGTGTCACCTTGATCACAGCAGCTGCTCATAGTGATTCAGTGTCAGCTTGTGTGTAGTGTACATAGTCACTTACTTTATAATTAAACCATCACTGAGGGTGAGAGAGGTAGTTGTAATACATTAACAGATAAAATTTTATGTTGCTGGTTGTCACGACAAAGGTTCATATGTTGGTTGTGTTTTTATAATTAAGAAACATTTACTTATTTATTATGTACAGTACAATAATCAGTTCATTATTTTAGTATTCTGTAAATTATGTTTTCACTATTTTGTCCATATTTCAGACTATTATTTTCATGATCATGATGTACAGTAGTTTATATATATATATATATATATATATATATATATATATATATATATATATATATATATATATATATATATATATATATATATATATATATATATATATATATATATATATATATTCAAGAACAGCCTATAATTATATACAAAGATAAGTATAATTACAATAATATTAGTTTTCTAATACAGTACTAGAAACATGTCACTCTGACCCCTCATTATAAAGTACCTTCAGAGTGCCTGTTGAGGTAAAACAAGAGAAGAGTTAGTGTTGGCTGGCCTGGCCTGTGTTGGGCAGCCAACGTGACTGACACTCCCCTGGTCTCTCTTCCTCCAGCCGGTGGATGGTTGCGGGAAAGGCTGACCCGGAGATGCCCAAGAGAATGTACATCCACCCTGACAGTCCGGCCACGGGGGAACAGTGGATGCAGAAAGTCGTCTCTTTTCACAAATTAAAGCTCACCAACAACATCTCCGACAAACACGGATTTGTAAGTATAATTTATCTTGCCTCTTCTTTTTTTTTCTCTCTGTTGTTTATTCTCTGTCTTGATAAGGTTGTGAGAGTGCGTTCATTGTGGTGGGTGTGTGAGGACAGCAGATGTGTGAGGTAGGTGGAGACAGTTAGCCTTACTGCTCTGGGTTTTGTCTGGACTTGTTAGAGCTTCCAGAAGGATAACTGTGTTGATTATTCATGGCTTCATTTTATTCTTAGAGTTTATATAATTAGTCACAAACAACCTTGAATAGTTTAACGTTACTGAAAGGAAGAAGAGAATTTCAGTAGTGTTTTGAGAAAGTAAGAGGCGAGTCAATAACAACACAAACCCTTGATTAATTTCCAAAGTTTTGATTAGAAAATGCAGATTAGAATAGCCCAGTTAGTTAATTCATTTCATTATACAAATTTCTTAGCTAGAATTAAGTAACTCGTCACTGTAATACTATGAAGGGGGGTAGCCAGTGACGGCGAAGGGACGCATTATTCACTGTTTTGTACCCAATTGTAAACATCGTCATTATTCCTCAATAAAGTGACACAATCATCCCCAGCAGCCAGTCATAACCCAGTCAGGCAAAAGTGTCAGTCAGTCTGTCAGCTGTCAGACACACATGTATATCAACCAGTCGGCTGTCGCAGATAGATTAATTCCAACTAATCGTGTCCCAGGTATGCGTTAAGGTGAACTACTCGGGCTGCAGCATAAACGAGGCAATTTAAGCCAATCAACGCGTTCTGTAAGCATAACTCGGCAATATATCAACACGAAGCTCATTGAATATTTATTCTCGCCGTAGAGGAGCGTGCAAGTACTGTCAAACTTATTCAAATTTTAGCCTTGAGCATTTAAAAAAGTATCCAATTTATACATTTAAAAAGCACAAACACACACACACACACACACACACACACTTAATGTGACGGTAACAAACTTTATCGAAATATCCCGCTCAGGTAATACTATAGCTCGTAGCCAAGAGAGAGAGAGAGAGAGAGAGAGAGAGAGAATATATTAATTTGCACCTGGGTAAAAGACGGGAAGAAGAAAGAGGGAGGGAGGGAGGGGTGGTCGTGGGCGGCGTCCCGTGTACAGCAGGGTACCCACACCTCGTCTCACCATTGTGCTGGCCGTGTCTCCCGAGTTCTCTGTTGTGCGCTGCTTGTCCATACACAAGTCCTGTGCCTATGTACATCCTCATCTCGCCCCGCTGGAATGGCTAATACCTCATAATGAATCGCTCGTACTGGGGCCTTTGTGGGCGGTAATGGGATTGGTGTAGCGATTTGTAGTTTAGCAGTTGGTGAATGGTAATGGTGAGGTGTGTTGACGGTAATGCTTGGTGAGGGTTGTAAGGTGAGGGTGTGTGGTGGTGGAGGGTGTGTGGTCGTGGTGATGGTTGTAAGGTGGTGTGGTGTGGTGGTGGTGAGGGGTGTGTGGTGGTGAGGGGTGTGTGGTGGTGGTGGTGTGTGGTGGTGGTGATGGTTGTAAGGTAAGGTGGTGTGGTGGTGGTGAGGGGGTGTGTGGTGATGAGGGTGTGTGGTGAGGTGTGTGGTCGTGGTGATGGTGTGTAAGGTAAGGTGGTGGTGGTGGTGAGGGTGGTGGTGAGGGTGTGTGGTGGTGGTGATGGTTGTAAGGTAATGGTGGTGATGAGGGTGTGGTGGTGAGGGTGTGTGGGTGATGAGGGGTGTGTGGTGAGGGTGTGTGGTCGTGGTGATGGTTGTGGTAAGGTGGTGGTGATGAGGGTGTGTGTGTGTGGTGGTGGTGATGGTTGTAAGGTAAGGTGGTGGTGATGAGTGGTGGTGAGGGTGTGTGGGTGAGGTGTGTGGTGGTGGTGAGGGTGTGTGGTCGTGGTGATGGTTGTAAGGTAAGGTGGTGGTGATGAGGGTGTGGTGGTGAGGTGTGTGTGGTGGTGGTGATGGTTGTAAGGGTGTGGTGTGAGGTGTGGTGGTCGTGGTGATGGTTGTAAGGTGGTGGTGATGAGGGTGTGGTGGTGAGGGTGTGTGTGGGGTGTGTGGTGGTGGTGGTGGTGTGGGGTGAGGGTGTGTGGTGTGTGGTGTGGTGAGTGGTCAGGTGTGGTGGTGGTGGTGAGGGTGTGTGTTGGTGGTGAGGGTGTGGTGGTGGTGAGGTGGGTGGGTGGTGGGAGGTGTGTGGTGGTGGTGAGGGTGTGTGGTAGTAATGGTGTGGTGGTGAGGGAGGTGTGGTGGTGAGGGTGTGTGGTGGGGAGGGTGAGGTAGTTTTGGTGATGCCTGGTTGAAAAGAGTGTGATTATTTGAAGTTCTTTTACAATAGCAAACTAATAATATTGGTAAAATTATGATGGTGATAATAACAATAAAATAATAATAATTATAACAGTAAAATAATAATATTAAAATATAATGATAAATATTTTAATAATTGTAACTGATAATATAATAGTATTATTATTTGTTATGATTATAGTTTTTAAAATTCTTAAATGTCAATGCAGTAATATGCAAATAATCGTATTATCATATACTTTTTTATTGGATTTAATATCATTATTACTATTATTATTATTATTATTATTATTATTACTATTATTATTATTATTATTTTTATTATTATTATTTGTATTATTTTTTATTATGAATATTAATTTATTTTATATTATTAATTATCGTAGTAAAAATATAACTTGTATTACAAAGTAAACACTTAAGAGTTAGCGGCCATAAGAACCATAACAACAACAGTACACATTTAAGCGGTGGCTCACATAAGACACGAGGTTGTCAAGCAGAGATGAGGCTGGCGAGGAACATCCATCAAGCAGTCGGCCAATCAGCTACCAGGGATCCTCGCCAGGGCTAATCACCGAGCACCAACCTACCGCTCGAGCGTCCTCTTAGAATCCGGACTCAGCCTGCGTTAATGGCTGGATCAGATAACACCCTCAGCCTCGTTATCGCGAACTCACGGACTGCGACCTACTCGATCGTGAGGATGGACTCTCGCTCCGTATCGCTAATTCAACACCGAGGATATATTTTTTAATGGATGAAAGATGGCCGCCTCAAGAAACGGGGTCCTTTGAGTGATGGGAGGGGAGGAGGGTGGCGGTAAACAGGCTAGGACATTAACGAGGTGGTTTTATAGTTAATATGCAAATAAGTCATGCTTGTTAACCCGCCGGGCCGGATCACGGAAACTGAAAGATTTGCGAAAGGGTGGGTGTGTGAGGGGGGAGGGGTGAGGGAGGGAGGGGAGGTCCTACTCAGAGATGGTGATTTAGAGTCTTGTCGGACTCAGGTGAACGACGGAGTAAACACGGGGATGATAACCACGGCGCTTGTTCCTAATTTGTTAACCTTATTATTTTACTTAAAACGGAACAAAAGTGTCACGAGCGTGTGTGTGTGTATGAGTGTGTGTGTGAATGTGTATGTTTGTATGTATTGAGGTATGTATACAGTATGTGCCTGAAGGGGATGGAGGGGGGGGTGTTGGTTCTGGGGAATGTGTGTGTGTCCAAAGGAAAGAGGTACTGATGGTGTGTGTGTGTGTGTGGTAATTACACACACATACACACATACACAAACACACACACACACACACACACACACACATATACACACACACACACACACTGCTCCTGGATCAACCTCTTCAAATATATCTTGTATGTCATTGTTCTTCACCTCATTTACTGATGCTACTCACCAACACGCTTCTAACTTGTAAACAAACATGTAAGGTAAACACAAACAGCTGTGCACATTATTTGAGAATACAGTAACACCTGTGTCTCATATTTAGTGACCACATTAACATTATTGACTCGTGAATTAAGAATACATGATCACCTCTGACGCATAATTTGAGTACATGATCACTTCTGACACATAACTTGAGTACATGATCACCTCTGACGCATAACTTGAGTACAAGATCACATGTGACGCATGATCTAAGAGTACTGTACCGTACATAGGATATTAAGCACTATAAAAACTTAAATAAAAAGACTTGATTCAACACACACACTGCCAGATGAACACTTATCCACACACTCCCTTTCCCTCTCCCAGCCCTCTTCCACTTCCCTCCCCTGTTCACTACTCTTCCGTTAACCCCCCTCCCCCTCCCACTCCTTTTCTCTATTCTCTCCCTTACCCTCGCTCTCATATTCCTCCTCCACTTCTTTCTCTCACCACCCACTCCCCTCCCTCCTTGCTTCCAAACTCTCCCCTATACCTCTCTCCCTTCCTTCCTCTTTCACACGTTTCCCTCCCTCCTCCTCGCCCTCCCTTCCTTTCCCCATCCATCTTCATCACCCTCTCTCCCTTACCGTCTCTCCTTCCCTTTCCTCTCCCTCGCCCTGTCTTCCATGCACTCCTTTACCCTCTCTTCTCCCTTCTCCCTTACCGTCTTCCCTCTCCCTCTCCTCTCCCTTCCTTCACCCACACCTCCTCCCTCCCCATACACCAAGAGGGCGGCCGAGGTCATCATTTCATCCCCGCAACATTAAATATATCCCACTACATTCAATCTATCAGGGGCGGCGTTGCATGTCTGGGTCGGCTTGTCCCTGCCCGCCCACAAACACAAGACCAATAAGTCTCCTCCTGGCGATGAAGTATGGCCGTTCATAGACTTGCAAAGTGGCCCACGCATCGCCCGGGCCCCTGCACTCTTGCCTACACACACACACACACCTTCCCTCTCTCTCTCTCTCTCTCTCTCTCTCTCTCTCTCTCTCTCTCTCTCTCTCTCTCTCTCTCTCCTCTCCTTACGGACATATATTACACACATACACACACACACGTTCTCTCTCTCTCTCTCTCTCTCTCTCTCTCTCTCTCTCTCTCTCTCTCTCTCTCTCTCTCTCTCTCTCTCTCTCTCGCTTTACGGACATATATTACACACACACACACACACACACTTGGATAAATATCTATACACATATACAGTTCTGTACTCAGGCAACATACACACAGGGATACCTATACGTACTGATAGGGTGT